CCCCCCCGCCCCATCCCCAGCTGTCCTGAAACCAGATATCATAGGGAATACCTGGAATCCTAGTGAAAGACTCCCGGAGGCTCAGGCCCCCAGGATCTCAGTCCAGGACCTCGATGATCCCAATCACAGGTCGGAAGTGGAAACTTGATGCAAACAGCAAGAGGTTTTATTGCAGTTGTTTAACGAACTAACCCCATGTTAGCTTGGGCCTTTCATCTATCCACCATGGCGGATGGCTAGGAAAGACGCTGTGAAGCCACAGCATAGAGATCTTATAGGACTGTGTAAGGGGAGTGTCTAGGGGTTACGCACAGGCTCAGGACTAGTATGCCTCCAGGCTTGTTGATTGGTCAACTGGTTGTTATGGCACATAGGCCCACCCAGGGTGATTGCTATGCTCTGCACATCATTGCTTGCACTTGTCTATAAAGCACATCTAGAGTCATAAAGCATAGCACCACCAGCTAACTTCTGATTGGTTCCTTGCCACGAGGCAGGCATCTGACCTGTTAGTGACCAAGGCAAGGTCAGACAAGCACGTGTTAGGCTGCCATGGCTGCCGAAATGGGGAGCTGATCCCTTCACCAGCACCCAGGATGCAGAGGCAGAAAGATTAGAAGTCAAAGGCCATCCTTAGCTATGTCAGAGACCAGCCTGGGCTAAAAACATAACAAAAGTAGCACCCCAACCTTCTCGGGTCCCCCAAAGATGGTCAACGCCCCCCACGTCAGCAGGAAGCAGTCTTAAGAATTCGACGCCCTTATTCCTTAACCTGCCATGTCTAAACACCCCACCTTTTTAAATAATAAGTAGAGGTGGGAATGAAAGGTTCAGGCATTATGCTGGCCTGCCCCTGTTACCTGGTGGAATCCACTCAGGCAATACCCTGGTCAGCCCAAGGTTCCATGGGAAAGAAGTCTGTACGCAGGTGCAGAGGACCCCTTTAAAAGATAGGCTCTCTGCCCCTTTACGCTCGTGCTCTTTCTCTCTCTCTCCCCCTGTTCCTGCTCTCTGTCCCCTCTCTCTGTTTCCCCACTCTGTCTCTCTATGGCGACCGGCCATGGCGGTCAGCCATTACCCTGTTACTCTTCTTAGTCTACCCATTCTGCCTTATAATAAACTTATAGTCAATATGTCCATCTCAATATTTCTCTTTTCTTCTTTTTAAACAAAAGAATAACAGTACTGATACTCAATTAGGGATAAACACAGACGAAGTCTTTGTTCTGGGGTTTGTATGGATTCACAAACATGCATTAATAAAATAATACTAGTTTTAAAAATTTCACTTAGATTATTATTTTTTTCAAGACAGGGTTTCTCTGTGTAACCACCCTGGCTGTCCTGGTACTTGCTTTGTAGACTAGGTTGGCCTTGAATTCACAGAGATCTGCCGGCCGAGATTAAAGGCATGGGCCAGAACCGCACCATCATTTCAATCGATGAACTCTGGGGCCAAACCCTATTCGAAGCACTCTACAAATATTAGCTCTTGTCATTTGTTCAATAATTTGAAAACTAAGCACTGCTGAGACACTAGAAGTTAGACTTCTTGGTAGACAGGCAGGGAGAGGACATGGTGGGGTAATAAAGGTGCTAAACTTCCAAGATGTCTGGCTTCTTCCTCACCCTCCTGAGCTGAGACAAAAGCCTGCCAGTTTAAAACAAAGGCCCTGTGGGCTTTTGTCTCCAACAAAACAGGCCCCCTACTGATGGATGGGCTCAACAAGTTTGAGACCAGATCTGGACATGTTACAGTAGGGTTGTAATGTCCAATCAACCATCCTATCTTTCTTCAAAGTGACCAACTCTAAATTAGGGGAGGAAGACTCTTCAGAGACATAAAAATCCCCAGCCCTTAGGAAACTGAATTTTTTGGCTTCCTGAGTCTTCACCCCCCCACCCCCATCCTGCTCTGCAGAGGGTCCTTCTCTGTTTCCTGCTGCTTTTGCTGCCTCACCGCAATGAACACTTTTCTCTAACTGCTGATTCGGTCTGAGTTGTTTGAGATTCCTCTGCTGCTACCTGTTGCACTGAGATTTCTCCTGCCTTTTAGTTTCTTAATTGGCAGAAAAGAGAAAGAAAGAGAGGGGGGAGGGGGAGAGGGAGAGAAAGAGCGAAAGAGAAAGAGAGAGAGAAAGAAAGAAAGAACTGGATAAAGCCCCTTAGACTATATGGATATGGTGATCGTCATTCTAAGTAGGAAAACCAGAGGTTCAGATAAGCTACTTGTCTGTTCCAAGGACACAGAGCTCAAAAACAGGGATGGTATTATTAGTTAAGTGGGAGCAATTTTCTTCAGTAATCCCAGCTACTAACTAGTGTGGTTCAACTGCGTTTTGGTTATTCTGTCCATCACAGTTATCCTAAAATAAAACTGCTTTTGGGAGCCTGGGTGACTCATCAAGGGAGGGGCAGCTTTGAAGACTGGACAAGCAGCAGCTTTGAAGACTAGACAATTTGAAGAGCCTGCAGGGCATTGAGTAATGAGCACTTCAGTCCTGCAGAGTCCTGACCTCATCCCAGCTTCCCGATCTGGCTCCTCAGGCTTGCCCTGGCCTCACTCACGGTTTCTGGTGCTTTTATTCTGGCTTCCCATGCAGTCCCCTTGGAGGGTGTATGTTAATCTTCTTTGGCTCCGCAGCTGTGTCACTGCCCCCCCAGCGAAACTCAAACTGGCCGGAGATTGCTTCCAGGAAAAATGCCAGAAATATGTCAAGGTGAGGAAGAGAAGGTGAGAATTTGGAAATGAACTTTTCGGGACAGAACAGCTCTGGATGGAAATGATGCCTGTCCACTCTGGCCTCTCGGACACACTCTGGTTTTGCCGTAGGTTTCTCTAAGGGCCCCTGAGCTATTCAGGACTCAGCACTTTCACTATAACAGCAGATGTGGCTTGCTGCTTTCCACTTCACTGAGCCCATTTACAGTCCAGACCTCTGCTTCAACAGCAATGTAGGAGGTACCCTGGGAGAACAAAGATGCTTCCTAGATGATCTTCAAAGCTACCAGTTATAGTGTTAGACACGAACATTCCTCACCCCTGGTGAGTCATATGCATTGCTAAGGTTTGGTTCACTTAGGAATCACTGGCCTGAAACATTCGTAACTGGACATTAGTGCTGAGAACTCCAGACACGCCCAGGACACTTTCCCGATCTCAGAGGAGCTGGGTAAGATAGGTTCTTAGCCAGTACCTGGCTATTTTTCCAGAACATGGAATACAGCTATTTGCTGTTGGGGGCCCTTAGGGGGAAAAATAACAGTAATTTCCCACCCAGTGAAATAAAAATCAAGTGCTTTCCTTATGTGCAAAAAAGAATTGCATGGTATCTTCTGTTAACTCAAACATTTTGTGTTGCACATAGGGAATGCTTATTCAAAAAATTAGCATCTACTTTTTAAAGTCATTTATGAATCATGCTTCTAACAAGAACCAAATGCTACCCTTTGTTTCTAAGGCGGTAGCAGAAATTAAGTTAATACATTGTTGCCTTTTCTTATTGCAATCATTCTTCTCATTTTAAAATTGTTACATTTTCTGAGTTAGACAGTCGTGAACCTTGGCCTTTGTAAATAGGACAAATTTTGGTTTTGGTAGAGAGGAACAGATCAGGGTTGGTGGGTGATCTAGACTAAAAACCAGGCTGACGTCAAAGCAATTTCACTGCCTGCTCCCTGGGACCCTTTCCCCCTCCTTTGCATGCACAGCAAGGCCCCAAAGACTTTCCGTCCCACTTCAGACACTTCCTTCAAATGTTAATGAGTACCTCACAAAAGCAAAACAGGACCAAACTGGTTTCTGGTCCTTGGAGCAGCTGGCAATTATCACTCTCCACCTCTTCCCTGAGTTTCCCAGACTCCCTTTCCTCTGTGTCTTCCTCAGCTGTCTTCAAGGAGCCCCTGCTGTCACTCTAGTGTCCCTCTGCTGTCTGGTGCTTGATGTCTTTCACATCACTTCCAGACATGCCTTGGAATATTGCCAGGTCTCTTTTCAGGAGCCTTTGTCTTTGTAGTCACAGCAGTGATTCCAGGCAAACCCCAGCTGCCCTCATCTCTGTTAGTCCCAGTGGGAATGCCAGTGGGTCCTTGCAATACTCAGTTCAGGTGGATGGTGCTGTCCCCTCTTAGAGTTGACAAAACTGGTTCTCTGGATGATGAAATTACCCTACCATGGCCAGACAACTAATAAGTGACAGAGCAAAGATTCAACTCAGGACTGTGGAATCCATTTTCCAGGTTCTGCCGCCTTACCACATGGTCCTTTCTAGAGGGAGGCAGCATTTCTGATTGTAAGTGGCAGGGAAAACTGAGCCAGGAAGAGAATAGGGCCTATGGAATGATCCAGAGGCCCAGGAAAAAAAAAAAAAAAAAAAAAAGCCCAGCCTTGCCTAAAGGCGTTGGTGGTAAACACCTTTAATCCCAGCACTTTGGCAGCCCGAGGCAGGTGAATCTCTTTGAGTTTGAAACCAGCCTGATCTACCTATGCACACACACACACACACACACACACACACACACACACAGAGAGAGAGAGAGAGAGAGAGAGAGAGAGAGAGAGAGAGAGAGAGAGAGAGAGAGAGAGAGGAGGCCCGGTAAACTCAAGAGAGATCTCAAATCTCTCCCTGAAGGCTGGGGGTGGGGTGAGGTTGTGGCTCAGTTGATAAGAGTCCTTGCCTAACCTGCACAAAGCTTGGAGTTAAATCCCCAGCACCAGGTAATCCCAGTGTTGAGGGGTTCCTTTGTAATCCCAGCACTTATGAAGTGGAGGCATGAGGATCAGAAGTCAAGGTTCTCCTAGCTACATTATAAATTAGAGGCCAGACTGGGCTACATAAGAACTTGTGAAAACAAACAAACAAACAAACAAACAAACAAAACCAAAGAACAAAAAACAAAGAGATAAACAAAAAAAGCAGCCAGTTCTCTTAATTGCAGAGCCATCTCTTCAGCCCTCTGGCAGATCTTAAAGATGATGGTGTAACTACCCCCCCCCCCGCCTCCCCAGGGGTGCAGAGGTTGACTAGGAGTCACAGGAGGATTTGCACAAAACCAGTAAACTATTTAAGATCAGCTTGCTTGCTTTCTCTCTCCTTCCTTCCTTCCTTTCTTTTTTTCCTTCCTTCTTTCCTCCTTCCTTCCTTCCTTCCTTTCTTCCTTCCTTCCTTCCTTCATTCTGTAAGACCCCTGGAAGCTCAGGCCTCCAGGATCTCAGCCCAGGATCGAGGTCACCCCAATCACCAGGCAGATTCCAAAGCTTGATGCAAACTGCATGAGGCTTTATTGTTGTTTAACGAGCTAACCCCATGTTAGCTTGGGTCTTCCATCCATCCACCATGGCGGATAGCTAGAAAAGACAGCTCGAACCGGCTGCATACAGATCTTGTAGGGCAGCGTAAGGGGAATGTCTAGGGGTACGCACAGGATCAGGATTGGTGTGGCTCCAGGCTTGGAGGGTTTGCCCTGTGTTGATTGGCCAACTGGTTGTTATGGCCCATAGGCCCTCCCAGGGTGGTTGCTATGCTCTTCATGTCATTGCTGTGCACTTATCTGTAAAGCACACCCAGAGCTGTAAAGCATAGTGCCACCAGCTAACTTCTGATTGGTTCCTTGCCATAAGGTAGGCATCTGACCTCTTAGTGACTAAGACAAGGTCAGACAAGCACGTGTTCGGTTGTTATGGCTGCCAAAATGGGGAGCTGGTCCCTTCATTTCCTACCCCCCTTTTGTCTTTCATTTGTTCTGACAGGGTCTCATGTAGCCCAGGCTGGCCTCTAGCTTTCCCTGGAGCTGAGGATAACCTCAAAGTTCTAATTCTCCTGCCTCTACCTCCCAAGTGTTAGAATCACTGTACTGGGTGGGTGTGCCGCCCTCACCCAGTTTATGCTGTGCTGAGGATCCAATTCAAGGCTTCACTTATGCTAAGCAAGCACTCCACCAACTGAGCCACATTCCAACCCTTTATTTGTCTACTTGAAACAGGGTCACACTACCCAGGTCTAGTTGACCTGGGACCTACCATGATCTAGCTTGGCCTCCCAGATACAGGGAGAGATTACAGGCTTGTCCCACCATTCCTGGGTCCTTCAGGTCAGCTTTGGTATGCTCTTTTGGTATGGTTAGTTACAACAATAATGGCAATGCCTTGCATTTTTGTAGTGTTCTCTCATGGTTTCCCAAAAACTTCTTTGAATGCTTTGTGTCATTATCATTGCTTCCAAACAGGTTAAGAAGCATGGTGTTAATGTCACCACATCAGTAAAAGAGAAAGAAAGAGACAAGGGAAGGTGCCAGGCAGGAGGGGGTTTATTGAGGGCCAGCATTCTCAGAATCTGATCCCTGTTGTGTGTCCAATAAGTACCCAGGGCACAGGGATGCCTGACTCCATTCTAGCTCCAGAGGTACATGCACTATAGAAAGTAATTCTGTTAACTAAAGATTCATAGGGTGTTCTTCACTATTTACACATTTTAGTTTATCTCTATAGAAGATCTCCAGCCAGTGTGGTCCCATGCCAATCTTAGCACTCCAAAGGCAGAGTTGGGAAGATCACTCAGCCTCACATCAAGCTCCAGGCCACACTGGCTATGAAACAAAACATGCTACGAAGATGTGAGAGGAACATTCCTACTCATTGTGTGTAGTCTTATAAGTGAATCCATTGTTCCTGGAGGGCCACACACACAAGAGAAGGGGAAGGGACCAGCTCCCCACTTCCATAGCCATAACAGCCTAACACGTGCTTGCCTGACCTTGCCTTGGTTACTAGGAGGTCAGATGCCTGCCTCGTGGCAAGGAACCAATCAGAAGTTAGCTGGTGGCGCTATGCTGTACAGCTCTGGGTGTGTTTTACAGACAAGTGCACAGCAATGACGCACAGAGCATAGCAACCACCCTGGGAGGGCCTTTGGGCCATAACAACCAGTTGACCAATCAATGCAGGGCAAACCCTCCAAGCCTGGAGCCACATCAATCTTGAGCCTGTGCGTACCCCTAGACACTCCCCTTACGCTGCCCTATAAGATCTCTATGCCATAGCTTCGCAGTGTCTTTCCTACTTATCCACCATGGTGGATGGATGAAAGGCCCGAGCTAACATGAGGTTAGCTAGAAAAAACAAACAAACAAACAAAAAACTGCAATAAAGCCTCATGCTGTTTGCATCAAGCTTTCAACTCTGCCTGGTGATTGGGGTCATTTCGGTCCTGGACCAAGATCCTGGGGGCCTGAGCCTCTGGGGGTCTTTCAAAGGCAACATTTCTTTTATCTATGAGAATCTGAGAAAGGGGCTAGCCAGGAACCACTGTAGCAGAGGGTGTGTCTGTGGTCCCTGCCAAGCTCTAAATAGGGAAATTGTATGCTGTGTAAATATTTTGATATTAAAATGCCCCCCAACTTTTCCACAGTGAGCCATGCTCTGCCCCCACTGCATGCTGGACACTCACAGAAGGCTTTCTTAGGAAAATAGGCAGGCCATGATAGGAGGCTGGATAGTCCAACAATGTTTATCTGCATGCCTGAGACAGAGAACCCAGTAGAGGCTTCCACGGTTCCAGTCTGGCACTGGGGGCCTGGACGGTCACTGGCACCGAGTTCACGTGGAAAGGCTGAAGAAGCTGGAGTCTGGGGTCAGTGGAAGATGGCGGCCACAGCAAAAGAGGCTGTTGTTTAGAAAGAAGGAAGGCAAGCCTGCACACCATTCCTATTCTTCAGCATGCCTTTCTTTCTTTCTTTCTTTCTTTCTTTCTTTCTTTCTTTCTTTCTTTCTTTCTTTCTAAAAATCTGGGCAGCAGTTTGGAAGTTTCTGACTACATCCATCCAAGTCACTGAACACTGTAGAAATGAGACACCCTGCAACACATAGGAGCACTTCACCAATCCTAGACATTTCTCAATCTAGTCACTGGCAACCGGGACCAACTTGCACACTCCCCTCCCTCAAGGACTACAGATCTACCTACCTCTGCTGACTTTGAAGTCATCAGGTTGCAGCATAATGACTGCCTGTGCTCTTCACTCCATCATGCACTTATTTCAGTAAGTAGTCCTTGATTCAGAGGTCGCCAGCTGACTGTTGTGGAATATTAAGATCCATTACATCTGTTTATGTTGTGGAACATTTGTTTAATGATGCAATGATGTAGTGCATTCTTTTATGTTGCATTTGTTTTAA